CTTAAGAGCTCTGACCCAGAGCAACAATCGCAACTTCGACCATGCTTGACCCTTAATTAATCTCTTCCATAGAATTTCACTTATTTAATCAATCAAAAACCTGTTTTCTAAAATTTTAATGAATCCATCAAGAACCTGTTACCCAAAGTGCTGTATCAAAGTGCACCTGAAGAACGAGAACAATTCACCCTAAATAACAAAATTGTCCAAAGCTGTAAGAATGGCCGCCGTTTAATTTTCGCACGCAGAAGTTTATTTACGAATATTTAGCCTCGTCGCCGAATTTTTAACCGCCCTCACAGCGCCCCATTGTTCTCATGAAATATCGAGTAACGGGCGGATGAGACGGTTACCAGATGAAGCCTTACAGTTGCGACGCGGTGCTGTAACATGATAGTATGACCCTGTACTAATAGTATTAGATCGTCGTATAGTCCATATGCTTGGACGAAAAGAGAAAATGCCCATGGTATCTTTGGCGAAAAAATGAACACGTTGAAACGTGCTAAATCGTGGTAATTACCCTAGGAATACGCTAAACGGATGCGATAAGTTTAACACGTTCACGCCGGCGCTGTTATTTATGTTTCTCGCCATGGGACGGCGCGGTGGTGCACGTCATTTGATAGACACGCGAGCGTGAGCCACCGGTGGTACACGCCGGTGTGAACGTGTTAAGTGAACTTTAAATATTACACTTTATACACTGTGCGGCCGAATAACATGTACTACCCGGCACGAGGTGGTTCCTTATGAAAAAATACAAGCAAAACATGAAATGAAATTTATTTTCATTTAAAGTTTAGTTTTCGAGAATTTTGAAAATCCTATTCGTACGTATGTATGCTGTTACGGGTAAGTTGCGTAGATGATCAAATAAAATGTTCGTTAAAAATCTTCTCGAAAACTAAGCTTTAAGTGATCAAATTTTATTCCATATTTTCTTTTTATTTTTTCATAAAGAATCATCTTGTGCTCGCCAGTGCATGTTATTCGGCCGCACCCTGTATGTCTAACCATCGAACAAACAACCTATATTAATTCACGTTCTATCTTAGGCCATCCTCAGCCAAAGTACAAGTGGTTCAAGGATGGGGTACCTCTCAGCAACGAGCTCACATCGGAGCCCTATTTTCGAATGCAAAGTACACGAAGAGAAGACGCAGGAGTGTATCACTGTGTCGCGACGAACGACGTAGGATCTATATTTAGCGAAAGAATTACACTCGCCGTAGCGTGTACGTATCAGTCGTAAACCATCCCCCTGAAAATCCTGAAAATCCTGAAAGCCTCAACATTCGCAATCCTGTGCATCCCATTTGATAGTAAAATTAGCCATCGATTACTTTCGTTAGGGAGGGAAGGGGCGGTGGCAATATGAGTCCACGTGTTCTCGAAATTCGCAACATTTAAATATGAACAAGAAAAGTATCGAAGTGGTGGACGGTGGAGCAGTGCGTAGCGTAGCCAACTACCAGGCCGAGAGCCTTGGGTTCGAATCCCGGGCGTCTCCGTTTTTCAAAGTATATGGCTAATAAATATAAAGTATCGAAAGCCTTTGGCGTAAGATAATGGAAAAAATAAGAGTAAAAGAATCCTGAAACATCCTCAAAATTATAATAACATTACATTAAGGGTGTGCGGGATCCCGGTCGGTACAGGAATTCCTCCCGGGATCGGGATGGGATCCCGAGAATTTCGAGATCCCGTAAATGTTCGGGATTCCCGAGAATTTCGAGATCCCACAAATGTTCGAGATTTCCCGGAATTTCGAAATCCCGTACATTCGGATTGCTGAAATTTTCAAGAATAACAACACTTTCGAAAATCCCAGATATTATTCTATATCCCGTACATTCTCAGGAATCCCGGATTTTTGCGGGATCTCGTGTATTTTTGGGAATCTCGAATCAACTCGGGATCTCGCATAAACTCGAGAATCCCGAATATTCTTGGGAATCCCGGATATTTTCGGGAATCCCGCACACCCCTACAATACGTACATTCTTGTCAACAAAAAAGAAATATCTTACTAAAAAACTCGGTACTTTACTCGAAGACTCGCTTCAAATCTGCGCATCGTCCTCGCCTCAAAACCTGTCCTCGACATCTGGTAGCGCTCGCCTGCGACATTCCTTCCAGCCAATTTCGACATTCGGGCAAATCCAGCGAAATTATTACACGATGAAAACGATACGGTAACGTTATCCACAGATATGGGGGTGTTCGAGGACCTGACAGAAAGGATAGTGACCGTGAAATCTGGCAGCGCGGCTGTTCTAACGCTGCCGCCAGTGGAAAGCCATCCTGCACCTGACGTTACGTGGTTCGCATCGGACGGGTCCCTGTTGTATGGTATAAAGTATGCGTCAGCTCATCACACGTTGCTGATCTTGAACGCATCGGAGACCGACGAAGGCCTCTACAGGTTCGTATAATCGTGTTAACTCTCTGTTCGACATTATTTCGTCGATACTTTGGCAATTATTTTATCGGTTGTGCCTCGAACAGGGCCAGGGCCATCAACACCCAACTGGGCAAAGAGGAGAACAGCCCGTTCTTCAAGCTGCAGGTCACAGGGGACGCGAACGCAGACGTGGCACCCACCATAATAGTGAAACCGCAGGACACGCAGATAATCAAGGATCAGGATGTCACTTACATACACTGCATAGCGAATGCCAGGTAATTTCCGTGTGAAGGAAGCTCAGACTTGAAGATGAAGTTCGAGCCTCCAAGTTATAAAAACATTACATACATTCTTCTCTACTAAAAAGAAATATCCCAAAAACACTTGATACTTACTCGAAGACTCGCTTCAAATCTGTGCATTTCATATGAATCTATCAAGAACTTATTATCTAGAATTTTATTACAGCGACGAAGAGCCTATTTTTAAAAATTTTATTTAATTCGTTTAAGAGATCTTACCCAAAAGCAATGATCTCAAATTTAACCATGATCACCTAAACTAAACGAGTTGAGTATTGCAAGTATTGGATTTGGTTTTAGGTCGCTGCACGAGCTGCGTACCCTGTGGACGAAGGATGGAATCCCTATAGAGAACTCCAGGATATCGTACACCTTCAACGACTCGTGGAACAGAACGTTGGCGTTAATATCGGCGAACATAACTTACACTGGTGTCTATTCTTGTCACGTGGACTTGAGAAGCGGTGGATATCCAACGGCGAATGCGAGTGCAAAGGTTGTTGTGTACGGTAAGGAGTCGATAACTAATGGTGTTATCTTTTCTAATCCTTCCAGTAACTATTTAGTTGTTAATTATACTTATGTTCCTGCAGAAAAACCAATGTTCATAACAGAACTAAAGAGAGAGACTCTCAGCGATTATGGGTCGACTGTGACATTGCCATGTGATGCTGTCGGTGTTCCTCCTCCTAACATTAGTTGGTTCCGCAATGCAGAGGCTGTGGATCATCTTCTTGGATCTAGGTAGGATCGTAGGAAGAGATCGCGCGCACCTGATGCAATTACCATTCAAATACACTGTGTAAAGTCGTTTATCGAAGCGCGAATGTTCTATTTACAGATATGCTATGGAAGAAGATGGCTCCCTAACGATTAAAAAGTTAACGATGAGTGATTCAGGAATGTTCCAATGTCTCGCTTCCAACGAAGCCGGCGAGGCGTCTAGTTACACGTGGTTGAAAGCTAAAAGTTAGTGTGCCTATCGGTTTACATATTCATCATATATAATTATTTGATGTTTATTTGTTAGTTACTCGACACTTATTTACACTCATTATATATGACGTATTTTCTGTGGGCCAGAAGGATTAGAAAGCAGACTGAAAAACAGAGTTGCCCGCTGGGCAGCTGGCTACAATGTAGTCAGAGTTCGCCAATCTGATCGCCGTTTTAAGTTCTCTCAATACCCAGACAGTAAGATTCCGATGCCAAGAAATACCCACGTTTTGAGATTACCTAGGCACATGCTTGAAGAATGCATATCACACCACAATGTTTGCTTCTTTCAGCTGTATTCGTGTTTTTTTTTCCCCTGGTAGTTATAGTGAATACTTCCGCCAAGCACGAGGATCCAGCAGTGTACACAACACATTGTCTCCTCAAAAACTCACGAGAAACTCAATTCAAAATTCAAAATGTCGAATTAGATACATTGCATTTATAGTATCGTTAGTTTCATTACGAATAGAGAATATTCCTTACACAAGAGTACATCGAGATAGTATTCCTTGCTTGTTACTTAAAAAAAAAAAAAAAAAATTAACAAACATTAAACAACGTATAAACACTTCGATAAATTGTTTTCAATTTTTGCACGTTTATACGACACAATCAGCTGCAATTAAATACGGCATAAATAGCACGTTTTTTTTTTCTAGATTAGGAATCAGTTTGTAAAACGGAATTGTGAAAGTTAGTCATTTTCGTAGTTACGCTAGAAAGTATACTTTCCTAAACCTTAGTAATTAATGAAGTTTCGACGATAGAACACATTTTATTGCAAAATAAAATTCAGGTATGGGGTAATTCAGAGTTTTCCATTGTATAATTATGAGAAACTGTCATTATTTAATCGATGCTCGATTACGCGAAATATTTCGCTTAATTTAAACGAAATATTGACAAATTACATATTGGAAAACGCTGAACTGAAAAAAGTTGATTTTCTGTGAACAATCGTTTGTTTCTGCCTTCTTCTTTTTTCCGTGCATGTATTAAATCGTCACTGTTGGAAAATGGAATAATAATGTATTTACGCGGTTACTTTCAGCGTCCGGACCAGTCATGGAAAATGGTCCACAGAATTTAACTATATTAGATGGAAAAGATGCAACTCTAACGTGTAACGCTGTAGCAGCTCCGATACCTAACACGACATGGATTTATAATGGTAAATAAATAACAATTTTATTTAGATATATTACTCGGAAAATTATGGAAATCATTGAGCTCTTAATCGATTTGTAGATACGATTCCGGTGGAGATCGCAGGAAGAGTACAGGTTTTAGATAACGGCGATCTCCTAATTGCAGCTGTGAAACCAAACGATGCAGGAAAATACACATGTATTCGAGCTAACGAAGCTGGTTCTGTGAACGGCTCGGCATACCTTACTGTTTTAGGTAGGAAAACAAGTTACAAGTTTATATAAAAAAATAAGGATGCGTAGATTCATCAGGCCTAAAAATATCTCTGTTCATTTCAGTACGGACACAGATTATTCAACCACCTGTTGATACATCCGTGCTTCTTGGATACACTGCTGAATTACAATGCAAGGTTTCCAACGATCCAAGCGTTTTGTACGATATAGCTTGGTTTCACAATTCACAGTATGTAACATTGATACAACATTCGTAAGTGCAAATAATGTCTTGATCAAAGAATAAAATTAATAAAATTCTGCAGAGTGATAAATACGCAAGCCAGTCAAAGAGTAAAGATGCGCAACGATGGTACATTGGAAATCGTTGCTGTTCGAGCTTCCGACGTCGGTGAATACATGTGTTCGGTGGTTTCTCCCGGAGGAAACGAGACACGATCAGCTCGTCTTAGCGTAATCGAATTGCCCTTTGCGCCAATAAACGTAATGGCCAGTCGAATCGAACGGATTTCTCCGCGCACCATTAATGTTAGTTGGGTGCCTGGTTTTGATGGAAACAGCCCAACGAAGAAATTTATTGTTCAGAGAAGAGAGGTTTCTGATCTTGGTAAGTTAACGCATTTTGTAGTTTTGTTGAAAAATAAAACTTCAAATGCAATAAATCTAATTTCTTTATGTAGGACCTATACCTGATTCCGCACTGAACTGGATCACCGAAAATGACAACGTCTCTGCGCAGAGTCGCTGGGTACTATTGAATAATTTGAAAGCCGCAGCTGCATATCAGTTTCGAGTCAGTGCAGAGAATAGCGTTGGCGAGGGACCACACTCTGATCCGAGTAACGTAGTAGCTCTTCCTCAAGAACGTAAGTACAGTTTCTAATATGCAGCGTTTATCGGTAATTGATATTTCTAATTAAATCTATTCGTTTCACTGTAGCACCTAGTGGACCACCCGTGGGATTTGTTGGCTCCGCTCGATCGTCGTCGGAAATAATAACGCAATGGCAGCTCCCGTTGGAGGAGTATCGAAACGGCCATATTTTAGGATACATGTTAAGATATAGATTGCACGGTTACAACGACAGTCCTTGGACGACACAAAATATCACCAACGAAGCACAAAAGAATTATCTCATTACCGATCTAATCACATGGAAAGACTATATCGTGCAAATAGCAGCGTACAACGATAAAGGTGTCGGAGTATTCACCGATGGTTTGAAGATCAAAACTAAAGAAGGAGTGCCGGAAGCTCCACCGACCAACGTGAAAGCGAAAGCCGTTAATTCGACGGCGATAAAAGTTTGGTGGAAGCCGCCGAATCCGCAAAAGATCAATGGAATAAATCAGGGTTACAAATTGCAAGCCTGGGTGGGCCATAATTTCACAGAAGCGAACGAATACAAGTCGATGACCGTGCCACCGAGCCTATTCGATCCTCTCGCTGAACAAAGTGCCATTATGACGGGATTAAAGAAATACACCCTGTACAATATAACCGTATTGTGCTTCACCGATCCCGGCGACGGTGAGAGAAGCACACCCGTTCAAATTCGCACCCGCGAAGACGTACCTGAAGAAGTAGAGAATTTACAATTCGAAGACATAAGCGACCGTTCCCTTACCGTCAGATGGAGTCCTCCGCCGGAGGTTAACGGGATTCTTACTAATTATCAATTAAAATATATGATCAAAGACCTGCCCGATTCTCAAAAGGCTGAAAATTTCACAGCGGACGTTCTCTCAGCGAAAATTGAACACTTGCAAGCGATGACGCATTACAAGTTCGAAGTCATCGCGTGGACCTCTGTAGGTCCTGGAAAACCGAGGGTCGCTGTCATTCAGTCGGGGGTCGAACCTGTTCTCCCAGAACCGCCCACTAAGTTAGCCCTGTCTAATATAGACGCATTTTCCGTTGTCCTTCAATTCACGCCAGGATTTGATGGTAACTCGTCTATAACGAAATGGACGGTGCAAGCGCAAACAACTCGAAACACCACGTGGTACAATATATACGAAGTCTCGGATCCTGATGCTAGTACAATAACCGTGGGTGGGCTGACTCCTTTCATGCAATATAAACTACGTTTGATCGCTAACAACGTTGTCGGTGCTTCACAACCTTCCGAGCCAACGAAAGAGTTCCAAACCATCCAAGCACCGCCCTCGCATCCCCCTAGAAACGTTACGGTTCGCGCGATGAGCGCTACAGAATTGCGCGTCAGGTGGATTGTAAGTTCTCGTTTTCATAAATTTCTATTTCTTGGTTAAGAGATTCAGTATTTCAAGTTCCTTTCGTTTCTCCGTCTTTATAGCCGTTACAGCAGATAGAATGGTATGGCAATCCAAGAGGATACAACGTTACTTACAAGGAAGTACGAACGAATACATCGAAAAGCATAACTATAGAGGATCACACCGCGAATTCTTATGTATTAGAAAATATGGAAGAGTATGCTCTGTACGAAATCGTGATGCAGGCGTTTAACGACGTTGGTTCTTCTACGTTGAGTCCCAAAGCAGTTGAGAGAACTCGTGAAGCAGGTGAGATAACGTTGGATATTACTTGGCTAACTTTACTACGATTAAAGTAGCGTCTAATTAAATATTGATACATTGTCTTTTTCGTCTCAGTTCCTTCAATGGGACCCATTAACGTAGAAGCCAACGCGACTTCTTCCACTACTATATTAGTAAGATGGGGTGATGTTCCTATCGAACATCAGAACGGGCAAATAGAAGGGTTCAAAGTCTACTATGGGGCAAATGCTAGATCAGCATTCCAGTACAAAAACATTCCAAGCAATACTACTTTTACGACGACTTTGACGGAGCTTCGAAAGTTTGTCCAATATCACGTTCAAGTTCTAGCGTTTACGAGACTCGGCGATGGTACTTTGAGCACCCCACCAGTTCGAGTACAAACATTTGAAGATGGTAAAATTTATTGCAATTTAAATTGTCATTCTATGGAATCGAATTAAATAAAATGATGTGTAACTTTAGCTCCTGGGCCTCCATCGAACGTATCATTCCCCGATGTAAGCTTTACTACTGCCCGTATCATTTGGGATACTCCAGAGGATCCAAACGGAGAGATCCTCGCCTACAAAGTTATGTTTCATCTAAATAACAGCCAAAACCATCAATTCTCTAAAGAATTTCCTGCGTCGGATAGAACTTTTAGGTATAGTTAATAATATTCAATTAGTAATATTTTTAACGGAAATATTGAGATACTTATGGAATTTATATTTTTGCAGAGCTACTGGTTTAGAACCGGAAAAATATTACATGTTCTCCGTAACCGCGCAGACGAGGCTTGGCTGGGGTAAGACAGCGTACGCTCTTGTTTTCACTACGAACAACAGAGAACGTCCTCAAGCCCCGTCAACGCCGCAAATAAGTAGATCACAAGTACAAAGCCGGCAAATAACATTTACTTGGACGCCTGGCCGCGATGGATTTGCTCCATTACGGTACATATTTTATGCAATAAACATAGCATATAATTTCTAGCATTACATTTTGTTTAACCTCTTTTTTTTTTCTAGTTATTACACGGTGCAACAATCAGAAAATTCAGGACCATTTCAAATCATTCCTGAAAGAATGGAGCCGACTTTAACGTCTTACACAGCAAACAATTTGAAACCCTTCACATTCTATCAGTTCCGCATACAAGCTACTAATGACATAGGTCCTTCAACTTGGAGCACAGAATCTGTTCAAGTTCAAACTTTACCAGCTGGTACTTATCTTATCTTATTTATATAGTTTATCCGATAGTGACGCATAATTTATTGTAACGTGAATTTACAGCACCTTCCCGAGGTGTCACGGGACTGAAAGTCGTTCCGATAACAACATCTAGTATAGAGGTTCATTGGAACGCGATAGATGAAGTATACTGGAGCGGAGATCACGAAACAGGTGGTTATCGCGTTGTTTATCAACCAGTTTCTGATTTTCCGATAGCTCTTCAAGACACGCCGAAGGAAGAAGTTTTAGGAATAAAAGTAATAATAGACTTTACTATTTAGAAGAACAATGTTTATCAAAAAATGAGGACTTGTTTTTAATCAACTTTGCTGTTAAATTATAGGCCACAAAAATTGTCTTGAGTGACCTAACAGAGGATAGATATTACGAGGTAGTAGTACTACCCTTCAATTCCGAGGGAGAAGGTCCATCTAGCCCTCCAGTGACTGTGTACGTTGGAGAAGCAGTTCCTACTGGAGAACCGCAACATTTAAAAGCGGAATCAATTTCTTCTACAGAGGTTCAATTGCGCTGGAAACCACCACAAGCTAATATGCAAAATGGAGATTTATTGGGATATAAAGTAATTTTCGTTTCCCATATTTATAATTTAAAATAAATTCTCAAATATAATTAATAATAATTCATCTATATTTTTCGTTTTAGATTTTTTACTTAGTCACCGACTCGCCCCAGGAGCTGGAAAACAAGCAAGAGGAAGAAATAGAGGTTGTACCAGCGTCATACTTAACGCATAGCTTAGTTTTTCTGGATAAGTACACGGAATATCGCATTCAAGTATTGGCGTTCAATCCTGCGGGTGATGGTCCAAGATCTCCACCCATTACCGTCAGGACTAAGCAGGTAAATACACTCTAAATTGAGATTAATTTATATGTATTTGCCAATTCGTTTATAAAATAACATCGAACCTTAACTACAGGATATACCTGGACCACCTCACAATCTTCTATTTTCGGAGATCACGATGACTAGTCTTCGTGTTTCTTGGGAAGCACCGAAATTACGAAACGGTGAAATAGTCGGTTACATTGTTACTTATGAAACGGCAGAACAAAATGATCGTACGTTTCCTAAATTACTTTAAACGCGTAATAATATTGTTGATCGCTTATAAATAACGTTTTGTGTTACTCAAGGTTTCAGTAAACAAGTCAAGCAGAAAGTAACAGAGACAAGTTTACTGATTCAACCTCTGGAAGAGGAAGAAACATATACTTTCATGGTTCGAGCTCAAACCATTGATTTTGGTCCTCCCATATCTGGAAATGTTACAACGGGTCCGCAGGAAGGTTCACCGATAGCACCGAGCAATCTTGCTGTCACTAAAACAGTGTCTAGCGTTGAATTGCAATGGCTTAACGGAGCTTCCGGGAAAGGACCTATTCTTGGATACTATATTGAAACGCGTCGAAAGGGTAAGTGAACAAAAATATTTCGATACTACATGGTCCGAAAACTAAAATTGCGAAAAAAAATTAATGACGAAGGTCACGAAACTGATCGAGAAAACGTTAAAATGTTAACGATAGCGAAGATAATAAAATCGTTTTATTATTTAATTTTGTATCGTCGATATAAAAATTACGAAATAGTATTATTTCGATTACTAATATTATCTTTTTTGTAATGATATAGCAATGGAAGAGTGGCAGCATTGTAAGTGTCAATGCACGTAAATATATTGAGCGTCAGTTATTGTATTAGATGGTCTCAACAGTATATGATTTGTTAGTGTTAATATATGGCTTTCTGTTTGTAATAATCTGTGATTATATTTTTGTTTAGTGGTATTTGTACTATTGATTGCATGATAATGTCATAGCATGACATTTTCCATAAATTCTATTTAGAATACATAAAAGAATCTTAACATTGAATGCTGCTGTAATTTATCGTGTAACAAACGAATAGCTAAAGTTTGACTCATTAGATAACAGTATTCCTATAATCTTAACTTACCGATTCCTACATCTAATACTTTTTCAATCGATGCCCTTCAGATATATAATATAAAACGTACAACGTAACTTCGCAAGTTTTCAATTGTTACTTTACCAAATCAGAAATACGAGACAAATGATTCGACTAACCGTGTAACAAGTCCACTAAATTAAACCTGTCTTATATTTTTCATTGCAGAAGAAATGTGTTTTGTTTTTCATTTGATCTTTTTTTTTCCGAAATACAATTACAAGAAAACCTGCAGAAGTTTTCGACTGCGTTAAAAGTGTGTCGTTGGAACAAAGTAAACATTATTCGTGTACGTATAATTGTAGATGACAGTCGGTGGCAAACAATAGTACGCAGTAGCAATGGACCATTAACAGAATATTCTGTATCCTATCAAAATCTACTTCCGTCTACGTCGTATCTGTTCAGAGTAATATCGTACAATCGCTATGGAATCAGTTATCCGGCGTATTCAACGGAAACGGTAAATAATACAGTTGAAGATATAAATTTTTGTACATCGAACATAATAACGCAATTATTAATTTTATAGATATTAACGCCGTCGAAGCTGTATCTTGAATATGCGTATTTGCAACACAGACCATTCTACAGACAAACTTGGTTCATGGTTACTTTAGCTGCCGCCTCGATTATAATTATCATAATGGTCATAGCGGTGCTATGCGTGAAAAGTAAAAGTTATAAATATAAACGTAAGTATTTGCGTTGTAATTTAATCATATGTTAATGCTGGTCAAAATAATGTGACCATTGATTAACGATAATGAAATATTTGTTTCAGAAGAAGCACAAAAAACTTTAGAGGAGTCCATGGCAATGGACACGGACGATAGGCAAGAATCCGACTTAGAACTTTATAGATCAAGACAAGGAGGAGGTGGAGCTATCAACATGGCTAGTGCTTGCGGTACTTTAGGTAAAAGAAGCACATTAGCAAGAAAGTCCATGCATCCTCCTCCTCCTACGATGCTAGGCAAATCACCCCCTAGACCTTCGCCAGCGTCGGTGGCTTATCACAGCGACGAAGAGAGTCTCAAGGGGTACGATGAAAATCCCGATGACAGTAGCGTCACAGAGAAACCTTCTGAAATTAGTTCGACTGATTCACAGGTAAAATATTTTCTTGGCAACTAACCACGAGATACACGAGACAGTGTATTTAATTTTTGTATGTTATATTACAGGGATCTGAAAGTGAGAATGAAAGTGTACAATCGGACCCACATTCCTTTGTAAATCATTATGCCAATGTAAATGACTCTCTGAGGCAGTCATGGAAGCGGCAAAAGCCAGTTAGAAATTATTCGTCGTACACTGATTCTGAACCTGAAGGTAGTGCTGTTGTCAGTTTAAACGGAGGTCAAATTATTATGAACAATATGGCGAGGTCGAGAGCCCCTTTGCCTGGCTTCTCGTCATTCGTATAATTCATTTTTAACAAAAAGCTTTTAAGTAGATAGGGTGCCGGTTTAGCGTAACGATGCCTTGAAATCGTTACGCGACTATTAAGTTAAAGCGAATTTGTGTGCTGAGTCAGAATTGGTTCCATGATTCCGAAATTATTTAAACGAATTGTTGCATTAGGATGAAGATTTTTAAATTCACAGACACAGGGGAAGAGACTGATTGTTGAAACTTGAATCGTTCTCGTAGAGTAAAGCTAGTTCGATAGAATTTTAATAGCTCAGCACTGAAATTGATATATACAGAGTTAAAGACTTACGTTGAAACACGTATTCACGAGTGTTTCACGCACGCTGACATTTCGTATAGTAATTTTAATGCTTCTGGCACCATCATATTGTGATATATTGAGATACATATTATTTATAATTTTAGATAAGGTCGTAATGTGTATAATGAATATTTTTACTTTTGTTAATTAAATTTAAATCGGAATGCTGCACGGATCTCGAGTAATGCAACGCTTGCATTTCTTTAACTATAAGATGAATACATTATTCTAAGCCATCTGTTAACGTGACGTATGAAAATGCAATAGATGCGATGTTATTAGTTAAACAAAGGGTAACATAAAAACGATAACTGCCAACAACAACCGAGTGGTGATTATTAAAATGAAAAAAATAAAAACAATATTTTAATACTAGATTAATATGGAAAATACGATGAAATCTCTGTTGAAAATTTTTTAAATAAATACTTATTCAATAAACGTATTGACTGCAATGTCACTTATCAATGCAAGTTTTATAACTCCAATGAAGAAATCTCTTCAATGTTACGAATTCAAAACCTATATGTATTCGTGTTGTAAAGAAGAAATTAGAAAATGTAAGAGATCAATTTAGATTTATAAACAGTTCACAATCAGGCCTATCATATCAATTTTGAATACGCTAAAGATTTCTGAGTCTGATAATGTTATTGTATCGAATAAACAGTAAACATGCGAATGTTTACGTAAAATGTGACTGCGTGCATTTGTAATTATTTATAAGTGACTTCTTCTTAATATAATAGACAATGTACATAAAACTTGTATTAATTACGAGTTAGCGATACATACCGAATACGACATCTGTACATTTAGTGCACAGCTTAGGCAATGTTAGGTAAAAATTTATGCTGAATAATCTATATACAACATGTATTTAACTTTTTATAAGTAGATACTTATCAGTTATCTCCATTATTTATACAATTCAGTTTTAATATGTTAACATTTGCATATGAAAAATGTATGCAATTTGTTCAATTTTCAGCAAACAATTCATTCATTTGTAGTTGTATTATATCACACTTACAGTATTGCAAACCATCGTCATACATGGATTGATTCAACTTAGAACCGTTACTCATTTTATCATCAAACATCTACTCAGTGTAATTATTCTTCCATAGGAGAAACAACTATTAAGCGCGAAGAACATTTCAGACTGATATCGATGCATACATGAAATGTTTTTCTTTGTTTAGTACCAATTTTATAATAAAAGCTATAGAAGTGATACAAATTAAATGTTTTAAATTTGTAGAAAACAAAATGAATCGTGAAAAATATTCTGTGACAATATGCGTTGAAATTTAGAAATTTGTTACTAAAGATAATACACACGTTGAAAGTGAATGGGGACATGATTGAAAACTCAAAAGAATGACAATTATAATTCTACCGTATTTAATAGAGCAATTATTAATAATAATTGAGCGATGAACAAAACTAATAAATTAAACTTAATATTTTCATTTACTGGATAATTTTAGTTAATTACGCTCGTAATATGAATTATTATCCGATAATCGTGATTAATACGTGTCATAAACTAGATCGCAAGTCATTTTGTAAACACTTACTTTAAACAAAAATTGTACTTTCATATTTTATTATATACTATTAATTCTTATACTAAAATACTTGCTGTCTAGTTTCCATTAATTATATAGCGTTAATTTTATTATTTGTTAATATCAGTCGTCAACCATTACCGTCCTGTGTCATAGCAACATTCTTTTATCTTCAGAAATTAAAAAATTGAAACATTTTTCAATCACTGCCAATAAACATTTTAGTTCAAGAACAAAAGTATTTCTACACGACTTTCTATGTACCGATAATATATTTAATCAAAGTGCATCTAAAATTATAATATGCCTGTACAAGATATTTCAAATACATGTTAATCTTTTAATAAAATTTATGCAATTTTATTGATGATCTTTGCTTCGTGATTTTAGCCAATAGTCAATGTTTAAGAAGTATTACCGAAATTAGAAGTGGAAAATGTACTCACGGAATAAACGATTTCGATTCGGTAGACGTTTATTTATACAAAATGTTTTTCACATGCTTCAAACCACTTCTTGAGCACTGGCGGACACTGTTTCGGGAACACTTGCTTAATTGTACACCATACTGCGATATCTGCTATATCTGGCTTTCCTTCACTTGACCAATTTTTATCTAACTTATCAGCTATTAAAGACAAGATTTCTTGTTTCTTTTTCAGCGATTGTTGAAAGTGTATAGAATAACACAAATCTAATATCAAGTCGATCGTATTCACGACGTTCAGACTAGAATTTTCGTAATTGTGCGAACTTAATAACCTACTTATATATCTTAACAAATTCGTTTCACCGGTGATGCGATAACCATATAGGCCAGTTACAAATTCCAGATCTTCAACTGAAAATAAAATTAATTGTAATACATATCTATTATTACTTAAGGGTTTTCACAAATATGGATTTACCTACCATCTTTCCAGATCAGTGATAGATTCACAAGATTGTTTCTTGGAGAACCCTTAGTTTCTTGATGAACTGTAGGGACATCTCCACCAATACTTGAATGAACATAAGTTTGTACTGTAATGTCAGTGTCCTTCCAGACTTTTTGCAGCGCAGATATAAAATAAGGAGGTCTCTTTGGGTTCACATTAACAATAAGATTTATGCTAACTGGATCCTATAAAAATCAATGGTAATAAAATTAATGAGTGTCTTTTGGCTCCTAAAGCAAAATGAACAAAATACATTTATGAATAAGTGTGACTAGAGTTACCTGAGTTTTATGACATTTATCGATTGTAACAGCTTGATTTGTTTGCTTCAATAGACTAGAAAGTGTCGACACTTGTTTTCTGAGTTCTGCTAGTTGAGCCAGTATCTTTTCCTGCCTAGCTTCCAACGCGTTGTATTCTGGCAGTGGACTCTGAAATAAAATATTTTTGTAACTGGGTACACAAGACATTTAATTAAAAAGTTAGAATCCGAGTAGGATTTACAAATGAAAGCTTTAACAGGATTAAACAATGCAACACATATTTTATTCTCTGACAATAATTACATTTCAATATGAGACACATTTGTACTGCTTATAATTCCTCTATAATTTTAGTCTACACCATTCAGCTCATTTCACTACTAGTACTAATGTATCTCTTTCAATTTCTATGATAATATGAAAATATTCATAACATTTAGCAAAAAGTAAGTATAACATGAATTCAACATGACAAGGACTTTCTAAAAAAAATAAAGATGGTCATGAATTATGAATTTGACAGATGATCAGTTACATTGTTGATTAATGGTAATGAACAGCTACAAGGTATATAGATCATTTCACTGGGTTAGGTTTTATGTGTGTTTGGTTATACAACTGTACTTTGTAGCTTTCAGTGCAGTTCTAATTTAGTAAGCTTGCCCTTCTTCTATAATAATTATAGGTGGATTCACGTTTATTCTTCGAGCGAACCGAATTTTTCGCGTACCATGGTCGCGTAATGTCCTGTTAGACGAAAAATTGGAGGGGCAGGCATCGATCAAGCCTGTAGAACCATATTCCCGGTCGATCGTGATTAGTGCTTGTGGAAATTTTGGGAGGAGTCATGCACAACAAGTTCGAGACAGAGGAAAGTTTCCTAACTACCATGCACGATAAAAGCGTGAGTAAACCATTAATTCTAGTTAACGTGCGGCTACGCGTTTCTTTCACGTCGCTGGGATTACAGAAATGATGAAAACCTTCAAAAAGCTGATAACCTGCTCAGTGATATCAGGCACGGTCTCGTTCACGGCTTCCGTATGGTCGTCCCTTGATCTTTCCTCGTGTATATTTCGCATTTCGTACATCGGTTTTGACCGATGCGACATTCGTGGCAATGAAACGATCGGTTTCATAGCGTACATCGTCATTTCGTTTAGAATTTCGTTCGTTTCTCCGATATTAATCCGTTCGAAAAAAAAAACCGATAATTCGAGCCCACGTTCGATCGTCACACACTCGTTCGTCTTTCGTATTTCTCGATTTTCGCTAGACAGCCATTTTTCTTTCGTCCCACTCCCCCCCCCCCCGCGTTCTGTCACCGGTGCTACCTAACCTTACGACCACCGACCTAGGGCCGTCTAAAACACTTAAAATGCCACCACCTACTAATGAAAAATTTATAAATTTAAATAATTTTTGTATCATTGTACATAGGATAGGGCACACGAAGTGTGACAATTCATCATTTGCAAAATTGTTAGTGATATCAAATAATGTTATGAAATACTCGAAAGGGATATGACCTTGCCGCTCAGTCATTGTCAGACATTACTGTCTGTATTCTAGTTACTCGTAGTAACCATATTTTACTCAACACTTTGAGTCTCAGACAAATATTCATGAAAATATTTATGAGGCTTTAATTTCGTTCTTATACAATTGGAAACCATATCTAACAATTGCAACAGTATTTATGTTTACACCCCGATCAAAATTCACGGATCATATCTGGATTTAGTTTCTTTAACACCTGATTTCCAGAGTTAATTAATCCTTCTTTCTTTCTTCACGCGATACATTCAAGTGTCAAGGAAATTTCTAGGTCTCTAATTGTTAAAGTGACTGGGTCATAGGAACACAGATGTGTTTTTATTGCTTTGCTTTGCAGTTTCTCTCGCCTAGTTTTGCTTTTTAAAAAGGGTGTTAACATTAGGCGCCCATAGAAAAGTACCCAATTTGTTTCATCCTAGAGCCGCTCCTGACACTGACATCCGTTTCCAAGATGGCGACGCAAATTTTCGCGGAATTACATCACGAGGAATGTTTTGTTGCTTTTGACATATTTGCGTCACTACTTACGTATAACATTGTACCAAATTTTGTTTAGGCTTTAATTTGATCAACATTTGAATCTACCGTCGACAAATATATTTATTTGTTCGATTACAAGATGCATTAACATATACTATTCGTATAATACTCCAACTTTCGAGATCTATCAATACTTAATTCTCTCACTAAATACACTATAAAAACATAGTCTGCACGAAATTTAAATTTCACTTCGTGTAATAAATTTGGTCTGGCAATTCATAAGAAAAAGAGTTAATAAACATCGTTAATTATAAAAAGAGACTGTGCCACGATCTTTGTGTTTAAACTTTACAGAATTTTCGTTCCAAACCGCAGAGATGTCGCGTACGTCGCCTCGTTTAAACATATAGGCATTTATTATTAAAAAAATTGCCCGATATAAGTATCGAAAAATCCAAATTCCTATTAATCACGATCGTTTTTAATTGTTACAATGGTACATGTTAAAAAAATGTATACCGACGTAACGACGCACGACAATTTGGAATTAAGGTGGTGTCCTCTGTCGAAGCTTCTCTCGAACTAAGGTTAAGATTTCTCTCTTGCGGATAATAGCGAGTTCGTTCGATCGCGTATCGAGGCTAATTACGGGATTAATTCGTGATAAAAACCATAGTGGATTAAAATACGAGGAGACGTGGAGAAAACGAAGCCATCGAGCGAGGAAAAGACGAAAGGTTTCTATCGGAAGTGCGGTTAGAATCGCGTTTTTCCAACCGCGCATGTCGCCACCTATTGTTGATCTGACAGGATCTTGTGTAGTTACGGTGAAAGCGATTGGATCCTTCTGTACGTTACGCGAGAAATTGTTAAAGCGATCATACGGTTTTTTAGATCGCATGAATCCCACTTAAATACGTTGGACAGGGACGTGGTCGAGCCGTGGATCGGCGTAAACAGGGGAAAAGAAAATCTCATCGAAGTATTCGTCTACTTTTTCGAGTAGATGCGTTCGAGGCCAGACATGGCGGCGATTCGATGAGCCAATTGGAGCAGCGCTCTCTTAGACGATCCGATATTGTAAATTCCCCTTACATTCGCGTCAGTGAATGATTTTCTGCACCTTGTTTCGTCGTTATCGATAGGAATTACGGGTTTTTATCGTTAGAAGTGGGCGACCGTCGGTCGTTGATCGAAATATAGAAGCCACGAAAGATCGTAACGAAACTTTAATCATGAAAGAATTGTGTTTGGTCACGTGACCGTAGCCGAAAAATGGCGCAAAGATCAGAGTACAAACATGGGTTCCATTTCATTGCTACGGTGTCATTTGTATTTGTTTACAAGCGCGCGTTTTCACAAACCACGTGTTAAGTAAGTGCCATTTCGTTGACAGTGCGTGACAGACAATGACAGGAAGGGTGTCGAAGAGACGGGGCCGACCCCCGAAGTCGGTGGTCCTGGAAAGGCCAAAGAAGTTTCAGTATCATCTGATGAAGAAGCCAAAATATTTGCAAAACAAGGGTTCGGAAACGCCAAACTCCCAGCCAAGCACGCCGACACCGTCGAGGCCGTCGTCACCAGTTGAAAGTGAGGAGAGCAGACGAAGTACGAGAACCCGAAAATCTCGTGGACCCAGGGAGAGACATTCTCGTAAGGGTGGTCATTCAAGTTCTGGAGTCTATCATCGCCGAGGTTACAATCCCAACGTCGACTACAATGACTCAGAATATCACTATGGGTCTGACTTCGGTGACGAGTCCAGCGAAAAGAGCGATGGAGAAGATGACCCCCTGCACAGTGATGTAGACTCATCTGAAAGTATAGAAGAACCGGATCCCTCCAGTGACAGTGACTTCTCCCTCTCCAGTTATAGCACTACAAGTGGTACACCCCGCAAGACGTTACTCAGTCAGCAGAGGCCGCCGAGTCCAGAACCATTATGGCTTCAAAACAGGGAACTGCCATCGTTGGTCTTACCTAAATCTTCCGATGACCTATTAGTCCCTAAGGAATTTGTTATGCCATCTTTATCTATTTACGAGGTACTCAGACATTTCCGCACTTTGGTGCGTCTTTCGGCCTTCAGATTTGAAGATTTTTGCGCCGCTCTGGTATGCGAGGATCAAACCAATTTATTGGCTGAGATACATATTATGCTTATTAAAGCTCTGCTTAGAGAAGAAGATTCTCAGCAAACACACTTTGGTCCACTCGATCAGAAAGACTCTGTGAATGTTAGTTTATATTTTGTGGATTCTATGTCTTGGCCAGAAGTGCTACGCTCTTATGTAGAGAGCGACAAGTGCTTTGATGAAAATATTTTACACATTTTAACGTCCTGTGAATATCCTTTTACATCTATCGAAGATAGAATCAAGGTGTTGCAATTTTTAACGGATCAATTTCTTATCACAAATCCAGTAAGGGAAGACCTGCTGCATGAAGGTATATTAATCTCTAATGATAATCTATTACAGAAATTTAAAAACTATATTCAGCAGGAATAATTTATGTGTCCATGCTGAAAGATCAATTATTTCACATTTACAGATATACATACTTGAAAACATTCCATTCCATATACATGTTAAATGCCTTTTTTTAGGAAATATGCATTATGACGACCACTGCAGAGTTTGCCACCGCTTGGGAGATCTGTTATGCTGTGAAACTTGTCCAGCTGTATTTCACTTAGAGTGTGTTGAACCGCCGTTAGTCGATGTTCCTACCGAAGACTGGCAGTGTAGTACGTGTAAAGCGCATAAAGTTACAGGAGTCGCGGATTGTATACCTGACGTCGAAAAAAATGGTTCGTTATGTCGTCAGGAACATTTAGGATTCGACAGACACGGTAGAAAATACTGGTTTCTTGCGAGAAGAGTTTTTGTGTAAGATATATTTTGTTATATGTAAATAAAAGGTATCGATACAATACTCTATCTCTTAGATTAATACGACATTACTATGTTTATTGTAGTGAAAGTGAAGATGGAGAAGTTTGGTATTATAGCACACCTTTACAGTTAGAAGAAGTATTGCTTTGCTTTGACCGCAATGAAATGGAAGTTGCGCTTTATAGAGAATTATCCGATTATAAAGATGAAATTGTACGACAAATGGAGCTTACAGAATCGATTACTAATCAATACAAGGGTAACAAGAAGTCGTACCTAGAAGTGGAGAACAGTAAGTTGAAATTTTATTTGAATAATAGATGGATAAAGCTCGTATAGTAATCCAAATTAATATTTTTTAATTTAGGTCTAATACAGAGATTACAAAAGGAGCGCCAAGAAAAACTAGAGAAGGAGGAGGAGGAGAAGAAGGAGAGGCAAAGACAAGAAGCTGAAGAAATGGTGCGCAGAATACACGAGGGTACAGACTCTCTTGAAGAACGATTAGCAGCTGTTACGGAACAACAAGAAGCGAAACCGCGCGAAGAATCGATTACAAGAGAAAATGTTCCGGATATGGTGGCAGAAAATGTAGAAGTGGATGGCGTAGACGCTGATATGTCCGTAGATGCGGCAAATAAAAGTGTTAAAGCTGGTACATCCACTTCGTCATCGGAAGAAATCGACGAAGAAGCGTTAGAAGGGGAAGACGGCATCTCAAAAATTGGCAAAGATGGTAAGTTGTACAGTTATAGATTTATGCTAAAAATATTGACCATCGATTAATAATTTCTACAGGGAAGAAGCATACGATTGTAACAAGATCGAAGACAGGATCGTTGCAACCTAGAACATTCAATATGGACGATTTAAAACGACGAAGTACCGCGCCATTGTCGAAAGAAGAATTAGAAAAGTTGGATAAAAGCTTAAAAGACGAAGGAGACGGTACTAGATTAACGAGACAGAAAGCCCATCAAATAGCTTCTGGTACTCATCTGTTTAAATTAGGAATGGACAACAACTTCAAATCGTACGTGAATCAATACAGCACCAATCCTATCGCTCTGAACAAGGCGCAACGAAACGAAGAACGTGACAAAAAGAGACATTTGTCGCATAAGTTTTCGCTCACGCAGGCTTCTGAATTCAAATGGGTTGGAAGTTTGACGGGAACTCGTGCTCTTCTGGTCAGCACACTTCGTCAGACGATTCTTCAACTCGAAAGTAATATTCAAGCTCCGTTTATGCATACGAATTGGCCTCTGCTGCGTAAACCTTGGACCACAGCGGTAGGTGCTTGCGTTAATCCCAGAGATTTTGCGCGTGCTCTTATCGTATTGCAAGCGTGCATTA